AGTGCATATTCAATTAGTTTGTTTTCCTTTGTGATTTTGTGTTAATTTCTTGGCGGTGCACCGAAATTTAAAACTCGTTACGCTACGAAGTGATTCCACGGAATCTCTTATAAAAACACAAAGCATTACAATTTTGGGGTGAGGGAAACAGCCTCGCAATGCGTATTAGGGTAAACACAATGCGAAGTCGAGCGGGCTTTCCGTTTTTGACATTTGATCTCGATATCATAATATCCTTTAGAATAGTGCCATAGTGTCACTTTAGCTTATTAAAATTGGATTAAAGTGAAACGCCGCTGTGAATGAAAGCACTTCGAATTCTCCATTTTGTTTTCTTTTGAGCCCAGCCAATCATATTAAAGTACAATGCTTTGAATTTCAATTCCAGTTAAGCAATTAAATAATGAAGGTTGGGGCTCAATCTAGGCATACAAATTGCTTGCTAGCTTTGTTTTTGACAACAAAAGTAGATAGAAATTATATTTTATGAATACACGGTGTTAAGATTTCTCATCGATATTACCCAACTAAACTAATCATTTTCCTCTAATTTAGCCTATTCAAATATACATGATATATAATACAAATTATACACCAGCTTCTTATAAAAAAAGAGTGTGTCAAGAGAGGAATTTAAGTTTTGCTATGAGAAAGTATTTAAAAAATAATTTTGATTGTTTTTAGCCGTCCACATAAAAGAATTTTTTTTAAAACTTAAACTATACAAGCGTTTGTAGTATGTGACATAAAATTAAAATAAATAAAACACGTAATTAGCTGTGGAAAATAATTATTGTTTTTTGTAAAAGGACACGTCGGGGCACGTTTTCACAACTGCAGCAACCAGGTGAAGGTTGCCTTAGCATTGAAAAATTGCAACAAAAAAAAAACGGACCAAAAATACCATTTTTATGTTGATCTCAAATGACAAATTTTTTTTAAATCTCTGGACATTCGTTTTCAAAGGATCAATACTTCAGAAAATCAACAGAGTAAGAAGGGCTTGGCGCACATCAGGCTGGGAAGGAAATAAAATGCCTAGGTATTTCAGTATGGGACCTCCAATTCGAACACAGACACAAAGGGATCAGCCATGTGCCGACACAAACGTAGAATTTTTTTGCCTCGAACAGTAAATATTAAAAAAAAAACAGAAATTACTCCGGTTCAATGATCTTGTCAATTTACAAAGATGTTGACAAAAATAGCCACGTAGAAGGTTTTTAAAGTCCAGTACAACACCAACTTCTCTGGTGAAGAATACATATATAAAGACAATTCTCAGGACGTATTACATGCATTAACAGCTTTAATTGAAAGAAACCAGAAAATAGCACCAGAGCATTGAGGAACTCTATCCCACACAAAACGTTTATCATTACAAGATTCATATATTTTGACAAACGTCACATTTGTTTTATTCTAATAAGACAGCTGCAAATTATTATTTCAATTTGATATTAACAATTCGCCGTTCTTAATGTAAGCTATTCGCGATTTAGAATTTATTTTAATGGGAACGTCTGTACTCTTGACAACCTTCTCTGTAGAACAAATTAGTGGATCACCTATATTCTAGTTAGCACTTTACGTCGATCCTACCGCCGATATCTCACAAAAAATAGCTACCTTCGCAATCGTTATTAATGTAAATGAAAGTGTCATGTAACGAATCCATCCAAACTTTCTTAACGGACAAGACACAAAACATGTCTTGGTGTCATTTATTTTTCTAGATTGTGTGTGATTAGCCCGTACTTCACTTGTTGTAAGTGCTTTTGACATTTTAAACGGGAAACGTTTCCGCAATTTTAAAATTCGGGGGTTAGCGAGCGTTCGAAACTTGTATCCAAATGTTCTTAAGAGAGTCTTTGATTGGCTGCCTTTACTTTATATTTTTCGAGTTAACCTTTCAACATTTTGATAATTGCACAAATCAATATAGTGCAAATTGACGTAACGATGTCTTGCGTACTTAACCGCTCGTCATTCCTTGATCTGACAGTCAGCATTCTGGTGAAATTGAATAAGCGATTTCGAACTTCGGTGAAACATAGCTTCTGTGAATCGCTTTTACTTGTTCATTGAATGTTCATTGATAACTCAAGCTGGAACCTGCGAAATTTTTTCAGGCTTTTTCGCAACCCCCAATATGTCAGTTTTAGAAACGATTTCCTTGCGTGGCGGCGTGTATTTCTTTCGCTCGTGTCTTTCGTGTCGATACCAGGAACTCGTTCGTTTGAAATGCATTTGGCTTGGAGTGAAATAATCAACCCAAGATGTGGCATGTGATGGTGACACCATCGAAAATATAGAATCTTCTCACTACACTGTGCTAAGTACAATAGGTCATTATTGCAAGGGATGTCTATTAAAAAGACGTGCAGTATCCGCGTAATTACAATACTACAGTTAAGTCTAAGTCTTTAATTAGAATGAATAAAAAGCGCAAGTCACTGAATTTCGGTTCCGTACAACTACTAAACACGCATTAAATTGTGTCAATTTTGGATAAGAAATTTATATGGCTTGGCTAATTCACCAGTAATACTTAAACACAAATTCAAATTCATATAAAGTTAAGCATCTAAAAGACGCCGCGGAGTTTACAAATCCACGCTGAGAAATCTTTCCATGTATATCAGTAAAAAAAAAGCGTGTACATTTAAGCCACGAAGTTATGATGCAATACAAATAACGGTAGTCTAGCTTCACAAAAGTAATGATATATTCGGATGAACGTGCATATGTATTGAGAAAATAATTAGTAACCAATATCGCCAAAGTATAGTGCACATCCAATGAGTTTGCTTGTATGCAACATACATAATCAGGTTGTATCAAATCTTGTATACTTATCTGAAAACAAACATATTAAATATTACAGAAGAGAAGCGTCTTGCAACCGAGTTCAAGGAAAGTAAATTTTAAACGCGCAACAAAACACTGAGCAGAAATGCACCTTTCCGTTCTCTTGACTTGTTGTGTGAAGCAGACTCTTGGGTTCTTTCACAACTAGAAAAGAGTTTGCTAGCGAAAATATTGTTACCGATTTTCAGATTTCCAAACTCTAGCACCAGACGCCCCCTCAAAGAACAAAAACCAACACGCGATGACCCTACAAAATCTAGAAGGTATTCACAATCGATTGGCAACTCTGACAGACGATGGTCGCTTTTCGATTGGAGGCAAGCGTAGACCATGGCGTCTTGGGTTGGGACTGCGAAGAGTTCCGTCCGCTCGCTCGTATGTACATTGTGCGCACACCGGTGAAAAGCAGGCCACCAGAAGTTCGTGCCTTTCCCTTGATGTTTCTCCGAAGCACTGCCCTCCGGGAACATTCATTTCTCTGGCTAGCAGCTTTACACTGTCACTTCAACAGCCAGTCAGTCAAGATTGCTTTGTATAGTGCTTTAAGAGTGTTGTTGGTCCACAGTTGCAGTTTCTGCGTCGTTTGTTCCAGCCATTTTTCGGAACCGTTCGCGCTACTGGAAAGAGATATTCTTATAGAAAGGGGAGGGGAAGGAAATGGAAAAGGAGTTCAGAGATACGTTTGGGGAATCTGTTCGCACGCAGGCTTGACGTCAGCAATTTCTGCCGCAGTCTGGCAAAGGGAGCCAGAAGAAGCTTATCTGGTCGTGGTGCCGCACAGGCCCTACAGAAAGGCTGGGAGGTCTGTATGTTTTGTGGAGGCTATCGGTAGATATGGTGAGCAGTAATTTGTGTGTAAGTACACAGTGAAAACAAAAGTACACGTATCCGGCATTTAGATTCTCATTGTTGACGCGGAGTAATAAAAAGACTATTATTTTAATTGAAAGCGTATAAAATCCAGGAACCTTGATTTTTTTAGGTTTGCCATATAAAGATCAAATTTGCCTTAGAAATAAAGCAAGTCTGGGATTAACTTTTGATTTCCCCAAAAGAACGACAACTGAAGCCACTGGGTACCATGCTCATACCCATAATTTAGGTATGGTTAATTTTACCAGATTAAAAAGTAAATTTGACTTCTATTTACAGTCTGCTTTGCTCGTAACCCACCAACTACATTATGGTCATATTTACTATTTCTTCTTATAGATGTACAGTGCTCACTTCGATTATCATGTCCCTATGGTTGTAGTTCTCTACTTTAATTGCTGTGACGGAATGCTGCAAGGTAATTTATATTATTTGATCAAGCCTTACAAAACATAATATAGCCCCGCACACAAGGTGACTTAATTTTTGCGACGTCTTTAAACTTACCTTAGTTAAGCAATACAGATAATATCCGTCTCCTCTTCTTTAATTTAAAGTAGCCTCTAAGTTATAGCTTCCAATCGTTGACACGTTTGTATACGTCGCTTGCAGGATACAAATCTGGGCGTCTCCTCTCACTGGGGAGTATGCACAACTGGTTCTGCAAAACGTTAGTTTAGGTGTCTCGAGTAGTACGATGAATGTCAGACGCTCAAGTTGCATAGCTTTCAAAACCACACGCCTTTTTGCGGCTATGTCAACAGTAAAAAGCAGAAAATCTTCACGTCAACGAGCGTGCCACAGAGGCCTCATCATTGGTAGAGACAGAGAAAACACCCATACCCTAAGAAAACAAAGGAGGAGGTACGGTGTGAAAAGATTAGGGTTGGGGAAGAAACAATTATTCTTGCATATCAAGGTCGGAGGCCTGTATTTTCTACATTACCCAGAACGGGCGAGCGCTGGGCAGAGATTGAATACGAATGGTGGTCAGCGTTCGGCGGATATTTGGGCTAAATTATTGGGACACAAATTACAATCGCGCGCTGACGCGGCGCTCGTATCTAATATGCGCCCCGCGTTCGCCCTTTATAGGTGACGTAAAAAATCTAGCTCTACGGCCTTGTTATCAAGGGGACGTTGGTAGAGCAGCGTAGAAGAGGGTTCCAGCGCTAGTAGATGGGCGGGATATGGGAGTAGTTAAGCTCGAACGTGGGAGGCTGGACCAACATTGACTGACTGGCCGTGAGGTTGTGTCAAGGAGCGTAAAGAGATAGCGCCTGCACGATCTTTGGGTCCTGCTTGGAGCCTTCGCGGAACTCTTCGAGCGTCAAGCGGTTGTCGTGGTTCTGAAACAAAAAAAGAAAAAGAAGAAAGCGACATTATTTTCCAATGTTCAATATAAACAACGAATGACGGAAGGATTATAATTGCACGAACTCCGGAGCCGACGTTTTGAAACAAGCAGATTTCAGGAAAGCTCGAAACTCGAAATATGTCTCACGTGTTAAACATTGAAGTCCTTAAATTTCTGCAAAAAGCTCCTTTTGTTTACAAGTTTGAGGCATCATATTTTTTGTTTCAGGTTTAAAGATTTTACAAAGGGTAGAAACGTTGTTTTAAACTTCCATGTGGTTATTGTGTACAATCGTTACATCCATTGAGAACCTCTAACAACACCGGATTATCCAGTGGCGATTAAGGTGCCTTAGGTTGTATGAATAAGTTGTGAACTAACCGTATTTTGTTCAGTGCTTTTTAGTGAAAAAAAAAGAAATATACACGAAGATATGTACAATGCTAGACAAACAAAATGCATTCACGTAGGTGTTTGTTTCTGGCAATAGTTGGACTAATCCTCTCTTTCCGTTTGAACTTCTTAACAAAGTTGGCTCTCTAAGCTCGCCTGGGGAAGGCATTGTTATGCTGCAGTGACCCATTCAGATTTAAATACCTGTCGATAGATCAATATTTGTAAAATGATCGGAGGCCTGAGGTTTAAATACTATTGTATATAGGACGGTGCCTGGAACACGTCTACAACTGATGTGTTTAGCGTCCTTTATTTTCCGTGCGTGCGTCCCGAATCAGTCCGAAGTGGGTGCCAATGACGTCACAAATACAAGAAGGCTATGCTGTAGGATGTCGTGACTTTGGTGGCTGGTCAAAACAGGGTCGCGGTTGTCACTTATTCCGAACTTCTTGCTGCTCAAGTTTAAGTAAGCTGCCAGGTCGGAGGGCGACCTTGAGCAAAAGAGACGCCTCCCATATCCGCCGTCGCTGCTGAGATATCGTAGGGTAACGGCCGTTGACATGATGCCTCAATGGCGCTTTTTGTCAGAAATTGAGTGACCACTTTTTAGACGCGGTAAACACACAACTCGGGGAGGTGTTGCAGAAACCAGAGTACATCAATACATGTATGCTTAGTTCGCTATTTATGCGAAGGCTGGTAGTATACGGTAGTATTCAGCCTGAGCTTGCGAGATTTTCATTCCAGAAACGGTGTTTTTTTTTAGTTTATAAAAGTGTATATATTATTATATAAAATATTTCTTATTATATATAAGTTGTTTAAAATGTACAAATACTTAAATAATTAACTGAAAAGCCTATTGATGATAAACTTGCCAAAACAACGACGTACTTATTCGACGTCATGGCGGAAGAATAATTATAATTTGTATACATTCTAGAAAGAAATAGGCGCGATAAAAATATTCCAGAATGCCAGAAATGGTTGCGGCATGTTATGATTAGATCAGACGTTGGGAATTTAGATTTTTTTTTCAATTCTTTATATGCAAGCAGGTTATCCCGACTATACTAAAACGCTTTATTTACTCTATACCTAATAGCTAAATCATCAATTCATAATCTTCTCATTACTTTATGCATCCCTATTAATCCTCCATTCCTCAGTTTTAACCCTTCGTTTAATCAAAATACGAAAATATACTCGAACTGTGCGGCGAGATATGCGCTTGATTTGATCTTATTATGGAAAATGAGAACGCCCCTCCTCCTGAAAGTTTTAAGTGAATACCAATAGCGTATTCCTCAAATCAAAATACATATATTTCATAGAGATGACTCAACGCAGCGTAGTAGTCTAGGGTTCGGTTCAAATATTTGTAGATACAGAAACTGCGTCATATATCCAGGACACTGATATTGTCGAAAATAGTGTGAATAGTTTCAAAATTCAAATAATTTCAAACAATTCGTGTTTTACCATCTTCTTAATGTTATTGGGTGTCTACATCACTCGTTTCGTTCAGATAAAGGATGCTTAAACTACAAAGCCGTTGCATGAACTACAAAAAATAAGTTTTAACCCTATTGTTTCCACGGGAAATACATGGGGTGACTCCAGCTGATCACATGCTGTAAAACAAGCTCGAAACGCGCCGCCTGCACGTAATATGCTCAAACCTTAACCGAATTCGTATTGGGCAAGTCTGTTTTATCTTGTATAGTTTCAATGAGTAGTTATTTTTCTGCGAAAAAAAAAATGAAGATCAGCGAAGTTATCGAAGGCGACGTACCCACACAACCGAATTAGCGACGCGCTTGGAATTTGTGGCCGTGTTTCCCGATAGGTGCATCGAGCAGGCAAAGGAGTGCGTCGTCTCCCCGTTACGCATATCGGGAGATGGTGTCACAACTTAATAGCGTCGCTAGTTCAATCGTTTCCGTACGTGCCCGTAGGTTTGCTTTAGCGACTTTGTTGCACTCAGTTTTTACTGGAAGAAAGTTGCGCCTTGAATTTACGCATTGCAAAAATAACCTGTTCAATGCACATTTGGTGAAAGTTTGATCTTATTACGTGCAGGCGTCAATATGTACGACAGGTTTCAGAGCTTAGGAACCATTGCAACTAACATATTTTCGATATAACGCACCCCATAGACCGCAGTAATTAAAGGACGGTACTAGACACAAAAATGTTTCAATAATATAGTTTTCCATGCTTATTTACCGCCATTATGCGGTGCACTTCTCTCAATAAATGTTTAAGATTCAAACTACTGTCAAACTAGCTACAGCGCCAGAAGCACTGCCTGGATTCACACTCTCAGACATAACTGCTATATTGAGCGATATATTAAAACAAATGCATAGCTTGTAAAAGCTCCACACCATGAAATTGTCTTACCTTGTCCAACTGGTCGAATATCTTGTCAACTCTCTCTTGAGGAGATTCCTCTTGTTCGGACTCTTTCGTTTGATTCCCCTGAAAAACAAAATAAATCAACAATTTCAACCCTACTGAATAGCTTGTTTAAGGATTCCTCGTTTAAGGCACATTTACATACTTGCGTTTGACTGCAAACGGCTTCGAAACGACCGCGATTTAAGCCTCTTGTCACGGCTTACAACCAGCTGCGCTGCTGCGGGGCAGGTCGTAAGCCGTCACGAAAGGCTTAGAGCCGGATTTTAGCGTCCCCAGTCCCAATAAGCCAAAAGTGTGTGAACAGGCATTTAGATCTCCAAGACAGAAAAAAAGTAAACGTCATATATAAACGGAGAGGATACACTCGTGAACTAGCCTTCCAAGCAGCACAAATTTGGTCAATCATTGGCCAATCGCTGGAAATGGTCCTTTGGCGAGTGGCCAGCCATTGGGTGATGACTGGCCTTTCTCTGGCCATTAGCCATCGCCCAAGCATTGGCCAATAAATGGCCATTTTTTGGTCATTAGCCAAAAGGCCAAAGCCAGCCATTGGCCAATGCTGAGCATAATTTCGTGCTGCTTGGGTATACATGATGGTCGCTTTCATCAGAACTGTAAATCTCCGGTCTTTTAAACCGACTATGAAACATGCAATATTCATGTTCCATTCGGTAAAACATTATCGAGTGTCATGAAATTGAAACCGTAAAGTTTACACTTTCAATTTCAACCAGTTAGGCAATTATATTTAGCTAAACGTAGCTGAACGTAATTGCCTAAACTTTACAAAATTAAGTTTTAAATAGTGAAACTAAACATCTTGTTTCAATTAGAGACCTACTGAGCATACTCTAAACCCACAGAATCAATGCATAAAATACTCTAGGTTCGGCTATTCAAGGAATCAAACGCTCAACGAAGACGCGTTTTTAGGGTGTGGATTCTGATCGCAGTGATCTTTCTGCACCTGTCTATAAAAACAATGTATATTTGCCGAATCTCAGGAAAAGTTCGGCAAAACTTCGACTTTGCCAAATCCGCGCCGTATTTTGATTCGGCAAGAAAGTTGGCACATCACTACTAAACAGTAATTCGCGCAAAGGGTACAGCGACGTCCTGTAGCCTATGCCTGAAGCTTTCAAGTGAAATGACTTCTAGCTTCACTCATTATTAAGTCGGCTCACCATTCCCAGTATTCCTTATTGGCGCTTCAAGTATGTATCCGTCCGTTTGACCTCACAACGAGCGCGGCTCATAAGGTTTCAGTGTGTGCGTTTACGTGGTTTTAAGCGCACACACTGTCCGTGTTTGATCAAGTACACGTTATTGTCTGCACAAATTCTGCACGACATAATTTTCAACTTTATTTAAGAAACAACACAGACCTCTCAGAGACAGTTTTGAACGAATGAACATTAAAACGTTTATTTTGCAAATGAAGGAGTATTATTATCTCGTATATCCGCTTGCACCGCATAGCCCTGACAACATTCTATGGATTTCAACCATCAGAATAATTCAAAGTACAGGGTTTCACGAAAAGAAACTTACAGGTTCTTTTTTAGCGCAAAAATAAACTAGGCATCGCAAAACGCTCATTCTCCGGCTAAAGGTAGCGCTACAGGTCACAACTAGACGCAAAATTTTGGCTCTATCCGATATTTTATTCAAAAGTTATAGGTGATCTTTTTAAAATTTCAGTTGGAAAATGCAGCCCGTTTTCGTGCGTTTTCGGTTTTTGTTGCCATAGAGCCCCATGTATTCGAAAACTCCATCGGCCGCCATTTTCCCATTGACATTTTCAGAAAATCACATAACTTTTGAATAAAATATGGGGTCGGGCTGAAACGTTGGCATCTGGTTGGGACCTCTAGTGCTACCTTTGGGCGGAGAATAAGCGTTCTGCGATGCCTATTTTATTTTTGCAATACAAAAAAAAAACTTGTATTTTTTTTGTGACACCCTGTACAACGATTATTCGGAACATGCCAAATACACTGGGCAATGGTGAATCCGGCGTCTTTAAATCTCTAGCATTCGACAGCTGCATTATGATGAAAAGGTGGTGACTCGATTTCGACTAACTACAATATTGCACTTGGAATCAAAACACAACACGTGTTATTATATAGGCACTAGACGGAAGACAGCTAAAAACTCTCCCGGGGTATTCTAGTCGTATTAGTGACCAGAAATCTAAAACAGAAGCAACCGAAGTACGAGAATCACGAAATCTGAGGCTATTCGTGGCATGCGCCAACTGGAGTGGGAGCTTCTAGAGACATCGTCATTGTTTGTGACGTAGCAGGTAGAAGAGGCTGATTATGAGGCGCACATGTTTAACCTCGTCAGCTGGTTTCAGGAATTGTTTGGGTCATTTGGCTAAACCTGTCTCACGGGTTGAGTTTGTTGGGTGAATCAATATTTCGGTAGAAAATTTGAGTATCGCTTGGAGAGGTGGCACGCGCAGTTGTACTGAGCAACTCCTTTCGTTGCTGATGGGCTCAAACAGACGTATGGTAGTCCACTATTGGCTACCCCAGTACAAAAGCGCTAGATAATGAAAAAAGAATATCCACCGCCTTGCCCCTATAAAACACATACCGTGGTGATCATGGCGTGCAATTTTTATCAATTTCGGAACGAGAGGAAACTATATAAGTAATCCGCTATCAAGTTGCAAACGATCAATTTTTGGCTCAAGCACCTTTCGCCAGTGTAGTAAACCACGGCATGAAAGCGACGTCGTGTACCCTGTGGAACATATTGCGTTCTGTGACAGCAGTCAATGTTTTTTTTTGTATTTTCCAATCCAGTGAAGAAAGTTTTCACAAAAACATTGGCTGCAAGAGAGGTTGACGAGCCCCCAAAATTGTTTCAACTAGATAAATGTTTATGTTCTGGTCAACGTGGTACGTGGAAACGACATCCATAATCGAGATATGTAAAACAAAAACACAGGCACTTAGCGCCGCAAAGTTTAGGTACACGCCTGCTATGGACTACGACCGTTTTCGTTTGTATGCCTTTTCTGGTCCCCAAAAGTTGTGCATAAACTTTGGTGCCTTTCCCAGCAAAAGCTCTCGTGGAAGCGTCAAATTATGTGTTTCTTGCATATAATCAAACATACAATCAAACACTGCTGCTATAGCCCATTATGCGACATGAATACGATTTCTTTTCGAACTAACTAGATGTGGCGAATACTTTTGCGGCTCATTTTGGATCTTGCTCAAGTGCGGATGACTTTTTGCAAAAATCGGATACTAATTGCATGACTTTTAGGGCGCAGCTCTTAGGGGCCCGTTTCCGGCTTGAGCGGCGTCGCCGTTGGCGTCGAACCGCGAGGTCACTAGACCCCCCCCAAGGTCACGTGACCCCCCCCCAAAGTCACGTGACCCCCAAGGTCACGTGACCCCTCCCCCAGGGTCACGTGACTGGCCCCACGGTCACGTGACCCCTCCCGGAGGTCACGTCACTCCCGCCCGCCCCTTGACGCCCAAGTCACGTGACCACCAGGTCAGGTGCCCCCAGGTCACGTGACCTCCCCGAAGTCACGTCACCCCTTCCCCCCGAGGTCAGGTGACCGCCCCCCCCGGAGGAGTTTGATGAATGGGGAGGAAGAGGAGGAGGGGTCTACCCTCCACTCAATACCCTGCCATCCTCCTCCTTAAGAGCTGCGCTCTAATTCGGCGTTACAGGGCGTCGTAAACGGGTTTGATTTTTTTCTTGACCGCCGTCCCATTAAATGAAAACGAAATATTGAAGGCAATTAAAATTAAAACCGTACCTCCTCTCGAAAGGGGATGTAATTTCTATTTTTCATTTGGAATTTCTCCTACCCCATAGAAATCCTCGGTTTTGGTTCGGTTGTATAAATCGGGTAACCGTTTTGTTTTTACCAAATATAGATCCGACTGTTCTTCTAGAGCCCATCTAACGTAAAAATAGTCATAGTGCAGGCGAGCTAGTGTAAGTTGAACATGATTGTAAACCTGAGACTGGGCCAGAAAGAGAACACAGTAGAACGTAGTAAAAGAGGAGGCAACGTCTCTGAGACGTTGCCTTCTCTTTTACTACGTTCTGCTGTGTTCTCTTTCTGCCCCAGTCTCAGGTTTACAATCATGTCCATCTAACGTGTTTGAAATCTGATTGCACACTTACCTTTACGTACATTTTTCTCTGAAGTTTTATCCTTGACACCACGTTTTTATGAAAGGTGGCTCCGCAGAAAGTAAGCTATGATCATTCTCGAGTGTTGCCTTACCATTTGTGTATAGCTTAGAACAAGCAGATGTGTGCTTCTATATTATCAAAGCATTTGTTTAGGTTAGTCATAAAACATTTTGAGTAAATGTGTGTCTGGGAAAGATCTCCTATGTAATGTCGACTCTTTAATGGCTACTTTTGCCCGACCAGTGTACAATTCAAGTGTGCAGTCCCTTTTCTGCTTATGTTGTATTTACTTCTGGTGTTCGCCAAGGCAGGAATCTTGGCCCTTTATTATATTTTTTATGAATTGTATTGTTTTCTGTATTAAGGATACCCATTTGCTGTTATTTCGAACGATATTATGTTATTTACTGTAGCGAATTATTAACAGGACTATGGGCGTTTTCAGGGAGACAAAATGTTATTTCGGCGGCGTGTTCTTCAAATGGTCTTACTCGAACTCAATCAAAAACAAAAGTTCTGAAGTTGCAAGAAAGCGTCATATTGTTAGTTTTTTGGTTGTGCATTAGATACCACAGTTATTATTCCTGTTTTAATTATTCGCAATCTATGATTTTACATGTAAGCTGCAATTTATTTCAATCATCTCGTAACTTTAGTTATGAATCCATCATTTAGAGTTCTTGGTGGTATTACGTGTATTACACATAAATTTTCGGAACCATTTTGTTGTTTGCGCCTCTTTGTTCACTTCTACGATCCCACGTCGGATACGGCTCGGGTTTTGGGAATTGTATCAGACCAACGAATTTAGGCGTGAATGGGTGCGTAGAGACGAAAATGGGTTTCGTGCTTTATTGTCGGTAATCATTACTTCACATACGTTAAGATATCCAGACTGAGGAAGTTAGACTGGATATCTTAAGACCACAGTGCGTGATCTGATGTTCCTGTATGAGGCAGTGAGTAGTGTCATAGATTCAACCTTGGTACTTATATACATTTCATACGTTTGGTCGGATTTCTACTAGACTGTGTTCCTTGTTTTAGCCTCCCGATTCGAACCAGGCAACACACATGACTCGCTTAAAATTAATATATAACCATATTAAACAAATCACGGCGAGTTCTACGTATGAATTTTTTACGACATGGGTAGTGTTCAATTACCGCGACTTTATTTTTTGTTTGTTTTTAGTTTTTGCTTATCTGCCTATGATGTGTTTATTTTTTTTTTTCAGAGGAGTTAGAATGTTCACCAATAAGGAACCGTCAAGCTCTTCGTGAAAACTGAAAATAAGTATATTAAATAATGAATCAAATAATAGTCACCAATTATCTGTGCGCCTCACTTTAGAGAGAAATGGAATGTTAATTTTGTCCTCGACAACAAGGGGTACGGGGTTGCAATATGATTCCAATATAATAGCAGGACTTCAAGAAGAATATTACTATAGCTTTTACTTTTTAATAGACATACATTTCTTGGAGCCCGCGTCCGGGAACCACACATTTTTATTGATACCAATTAAGTAATATTATAGCTGTTGATTGGTGGTACATCTTGGTGCATATGAGTCGGAGCTAGCAACGTATGCCGCTTGCACGAGAAATTATGGGGTTCCCACCCACCATCCCAGTTCCGGCTTCTTCTGAGAGGATAAGCCGAGAAAATCCCCTTTCTGAGCGACGGACGATGGGTGCGGCAGCAGCGACCTCGTGACTTACTGGTAGCTTCAGCTCCTATCGCGTAATCTGCCCCATTTTTTGGCGCTCACCAAGCCTAGCCCCCCGGGTATAGGTTTCACGGAGCTGCAAGGCTGCGCCCTCGCAGTCACCAAATTTGAGCTGTCGAAGTTCTTTAGTTTAGCCCGTGGCAAAATAAACGCATACTTAGGAGCTGCGATGCATCCACGCACCCATTGAAGGAACGTTTCATAGATATTTTCGGTTGATCAAGGAACTCAAAACACATGCGCGAGGTGTGGTGACTTGAATATGCAAGGATGACTTACATCTTCACAAAACATTCCACCTTCAAAAAAAAAAACGGCTCATCACGCTCAAACCGGCCTCAAATTGGGATCGAAGGAAAAGAAAACGATATACCGGGCGCGGGCATTTTGTAGAAGGTCTCTGTTTTCTAGCAGCGAGCACAAATTATTGTGTGCGTAACTCACACTACATGATGGCCAACGAATGTAGATGACATTTATATTTACGCATCCCAACAACCACATGAGGTGAGAAGGCAGCAATGGTGTGTATTGATACTAAGAAGTTTCAGTGAATCGTCTTTAGCTCTTGGATAACCGTATCCTACAACATTATATAAGCTATAACCTTTCTGAGAACATTATTTATTGAGTGCGGCTATCGAAGCGTGTCGTGTTATAATTCAACGTTGCTTAAATCGGTGCTATAGCACATGCTGCCCCTTTAAAGTAGTTTTGAAGCATTAAAAATTAAAAAAAAAATGTAGCCGATCTTTTTTTGACATGAAACGCGTTTGTAATTTGTCATTGCAAAGACATTTTAGGTATACTGCCACACTGTTAGCACGGACAAACTATCGCCGGTCTTCCTAATTTTGTTTTCTTAAAAGTGGATGATGTTTAGAAAACTGATATGCAACTATCCAGCCTAAGTGGCAGAGATCAGTGCTAGAAAATACTTGTTGCTGTCAGAAATAGTCAAAAGCGCCGATGTCGCGTTCGGGCTAACAGTGCCACGTAATGCACGCATACCGCTACAAGATCAGCACAAGCATAATGTGGCAATAGATTTATTACACAATTTGTTTTAATAGATGAAAGGTTTCAAGAAATCGTCGCAGCGCCTTGATTATCAAAGCTGACAACGAGTCACACTTATTAACGGCTTTGGCTTGCATTATCAAGTCGTCGAAAGCAGTCGGTTCGGCGGTTTCAGAAAAAGTGAGGTTCAGGCTTGGTCGGAGATTGCTACGGTTACACTCGTATGCTTTTTCAGCCCCCCCCCCCCCCCTCCTCTCGCATACGCTTCTTGCTCAAGTAAACAGGGGAATCTGACTTGTCGTTCATCTCGGCCTTTAGCGCGACTGTTAACAAATTCTAAAACAGACAAAGTAAAAGTGATGTAATTAACTCAGAATTATAGGGTGTGCGCAATATTTACAAAGTTCGAAGTTCCCTAGAGTCATCTTTTGTATTCAATTCCGCCTCCCCTCACCACTACTTCCTTTCCTCGAAATAAACAACGTAGATTATTTTATGAACCACCAGCAATAAAGCGTACTCGCAAAATGTCTATTTGGAAAGGCCTTTTTAAATGTTCGAGCAATGAACTGGTCTTCTTACTGTGCGTGAAACAGCTAGCACGAACGCAATATTGACATTTTTACGCAAGGGCCATGCAGAATTTAGTGTATAAGAACAAATTGATGCCTCGTACGTTGGTGCCCAATGGAAGCACTCTTTACCGAATTGCTTGTATAAAAATAACAACCTTTCAACCATAAAAACAAAACAAAATAACACCACTTTTTTGGGGGGCCACCAAATTTAATGATTCACTCCGTTAGCGTTGATTGTGCAGCGGTATGCGCACATTACGCTACACTGTTAGCGCAAACACGACATCGGCGCTTTTTGCTATTTTCCCCAGTAATGTATTGGCTCGCACTAAAATCTACCGCTTAGGTTGGATACTCGCGTTAACAGTTTCCTAAATATCATTCTCTTCTATGAAGAAAAAAAAAAGTGGGAAACACCAGCGATAGTTTGTTTGTGCTAACTGCGTGGCGTAGGGTACCTAAAAGTTTTTACAATGTTAAATAATATTCTGTGTCACGTTAAAAAAAAATGTCTGCTTTTGCTTTAGTTTCTTTGAGACACCAAAAATACTTCGAAGTGGCGGCCCGTGCTATGGTACCAATACAAGCAACATTGAACCATAACACGACACGCTAGACTCGCCAAAAAGGGTTTTAATATTGTCTTTTCCGCTCCATAGCCGCACTCGATGAAGAATGTAAACAGCGAGTCTAGCTTACATTTCGTTGTGGGTTGGGGACCGTACGGTTATCTCAGTGGCTAAAAGAGACCCACTAAAACTTTCTAAAATTGACATCCACCCTTGATGCCCTCTCACGTCAGGTGGTTGTTGGGAATGTGTAAATATGAATTTCATACATTTTGCTGGCCATCATGTTCCGCGAGTTAGGCACACAACAGGGCATTTTAGCAAATCGTTTTCAAAGGCCCGTTGCCACTTCAGGCGCGCGCTTCAGAGAATGCATCGAAGTGGCAGCGCGAGCTCCCGCTAAATATAGCGTGGCCTGAAAACATAGTCTGCTAAAAGTTCTCCAATAATTTGTGCTCGCTGCTACAAAACAAAGACCTTCTAGAAGGTGCCCGCGCCTGGTACATCGTTTTCTTTTCCATCGATCCTAGTTTGAGGCAGGTTTGAGCGTGATAAGCCGTTTTTATTAAGATAGAATGTTTTCGGAAGATGTAAGTCATGCTTACATATTCAAGTCACCACTTCTCGCGCATGTTTTTTGAGCTCCTTGATCAACCGAAAATATCTATGAAATGTTCCTTCAATGAGTGCGGTTAGGGATCGCAGCTCTCAAGTATGCGTTCACTTTGCCACGGGCTAAACCAAAGGCCTTCGACAGCTGAAATTCGGTGGTTGCGCGGGCGCAGCCTTGCAGCACCGTAAAACCTACACCCGAGGGGTTAGGCTTGGTGAGCGCCAAAAAATGGGGCAGATTACGCGATAGGAGCTGAAGCTACCAGTAAGTCACGAGGTCGCTGCTGCCGCACCCATCGCCCGTCGCTCAGAATGGGGATTTTCTCGGCTTATCCTCTCAGAAGAAGCCGGCGCAAAAGGGGACCTTTCCCTTCGCCTCGCCGTACTACAATACAAGAAGAAAGAGGGCGAGGAGGACTTTCCGCCATGCGGAAGAATATTTCTCCTGGTCCCCCTTTAACATGAAACTAAATTCCTTGCTGCTAATACTTATAGCAGCGAGAATAATTATTTGACATAGTTTAATAAAATCGTGTTTATTTATAGGTCTTTACGTAATTAGCGTGAAGGAGTTTATAAGCACCATAAACAAAGGACTCACCAGCATTTGGTAAATGGCATCCACGATGTTGTACATTTCGTCTCTCGTGATGAAGCCATCGTTGTCGACGTCGTATAGTTTGAAGGCCCCTAGAAATTATACAAAATGATTGCAAATGTTGGCCATATTAGTATATTTAGTGAAACTGAGCTACAATACAATACAATACAAAAACCATATTTATTTACTTTGTTTGAAAAAAAATACAATATAAAGCCCACATAAGCCAATAATGACTTGTGTGTATGGGACGCGACAGGAGCCTCTGCTTTTTATTGAACAGATAAACCAAAACAACAAAGCATACCAATATAAGTATATATTACTACAGTTCCACCTCCTTTTACAGCTTATAATAGTTCCTCTAATTTGACGACTACATATGTAACACCCGTCCAGTCATATTGAATTAGCATTTACATACCGTGAAGGAAAATAGAATTCGCGACTTACAAGATAATTATAATAATAGAACAGAAAATATAACCTTTTATATTTTGCGTTTTCGAGGATACTTATCGGATATACCTATTACCCTTTAAAGATCTTATTTTTCCCGTTCAATTATCCACCTTTTTGCTATTTTTTCATTGTAGGGGATTTTATTTTTAGCAGCTCATCGGATAGTTCATATGCAGCAAAGGGATGGCAGCAAAGTATGACATAAAATACAATCACGGCATTTTAACCCGGGTGTTTTCTCGTCAAATAACGTATACCATGACTAATATTCACTAAACATGAGATAAGAAGAGATAAATTGTATTGATTTTGAGCGCTATTTTCGCGTAATTCGCGTAATTCAAACGTCATGTTAGGGTAAACGCTGAATAATATGATGCATCACCCCAAGCAATCAAAGCTGCAGGATTAATTTGTTCTCTCCTAGAAAAACATATTTCACTACAAATAGAAACAAAAGCAGCCAACTAACAGAAGCTTAAAATTTTGATCATATAGACAGCGTGCTACAAAAAAGTTAGCTGGTTTAAGTGAATTACTAGACACCCCAAATGAAATATACTGTTGTTTATAATATGTATATGTTCCAATTCTTTCAAAAACGTCTAGTTCGTACACTATTCTATTCAATTCCCATTCAAATACTTCCTTACGGGGTAAAACATCTCGCATATCAAGAGGAACTGTACATGCAATAGTCATTTTTGAAATGCTAATAAAGCTTCATATAATCAATAAAAAGAAACATCCACTTACAGACTAGCTTTTCGTCGAGGCTGCCTCGTGAAGTCACTGATAGTGCACGAATGAATTCCTCGAACTCAATAGAGCCGTCCTGTAAGGAGAACAAGAAGAAAGATCACAGCATTTAGGATGTGCAAAAAATTGCCAAGTAGCAGGAGAGTTGGTGCGTATTAATTATTGTGCGAACACCATGAGACTGGGATGTAAACTAGAAAATAACGTAGAAGGTTCAAAAGATGGTGTACAGGCAGTTTCTCAACTGAGACCGTCCATCCACTATTTTCTCTTCCAAGTTATCTTTCATTTTGGTCTCAGTCTCACCGTTTAAGAACTGAATTTTAGAAATATTCCAGAAAAGAAATGTAATTTATTTATGTCAATTGCAAAACATGCTCCATCTAGTTTTAAGTTCACAGAGAAAACTGCATAAAAGTGAGGAGATCTACAAATTTTGAAATTGATACTCGGAATGTTTATAGTCTTGAGGATTGTTTGTCTTTTATTCATTTGTAAAGATGGCATATTTCGTTTTGGGGGACAGTAGGAAAAAATACTGAAATTACACCAGGTATTACAGTTCCTTGGGTCAACATCTTTTTCTGTATCAACCTTTAGAGCTTTAAAAAGCCCAGAGGTGCACAGGTCTAGCCAAACTCGATATATATTCTTTGGCCAGAGTCTAGGTATTTCGGTCCGAAAGCGCCAAACGAGTGCCAAAGTTAGCCTTTGCTGCTGGTGGCTTGGCTGTCATGTGTCATCTTTCGGTTTAAATCAACAAGCGAGGGCCAAAGATAGGCTTCACTTCTGGTTGTTCGGTTCTAATGTGGCAACTTTGGGCATGAATCGCCAAAAAAGTACCAAGCTAAAGATTCGGTGCTGGTTGTTTGGCTCAAATATGGCATACTTGGTTCAAGTGTTTTTTTAGGAATTATGTGATTAGCCAGAGATATCCACAAGAACTCACAAAAAACAATGTGGTACTAAATAACTGCTCAGAGTGTATCCAAATTAGGCCCAAGTCCGGACTTCGCATTGCCAAGCTTATGCCAATTACGCTTTTCTGTGATGTACAACGCGGGATATAACTAATAATTTTTATTAAATATCTGGATATACTAAACGGTATCTTCTCGACACGCAACTAGAATACCAATACCTAAAAAGTATATAAATAAGATAATATTTTTTTTTACTTCCGCTTAGCTAATAAAAAAGTACAATAAATTTATATCGAACTCAGAAACAAAATTGCACATTTAGAATGAAACCCCAATGTTGCAGCAAGACGTCCGTAATATCATTTCCTTGACATCATTTATGACTAAGGTGTAGCATGTATGTATATATATATATATTTCTTTACTTTATTCTTGCCGCGGCGCACTTCTCTCCATCCTAAACTATAATATACGCAGTAAAATTACTATCTTCTTACTTGTACCATTTTAGTGAACCGTGTACCCCACAACAAAGCAAGAAACAAGCATTTGCAAAAACAGAAGCCACTTCGGGTTGCTGATATGACATGCACCTGATATTCTACACAACGAAAGAATAAGTTTATAAATCAACAGAATGTTCGCAGGACGTTTTATTAGTTTTGTGATTCATCTAGTATTGTACGCAGAAGCGTGATGACTACAATGAAAGCGTCAAATTTCAAGGAGTGCATTGTTTTATGAAGAGGAGTTTAAAACTTATATTTGAATTGTTCACCACCATACATGGTTTTGTATAACATTTAAAGTTTTCTTGAGGCATCTCACTCAAATCGGAAAAATTTAACTCGATGAATTAATTACAAGGTTCCACATGTAACGTGAATAGCAATATGTATAACACCAAATTCTTCGCGAAATTCACGCCTTGAGAAAACTTAAATCGTTATCAAATGCATTAATCTAACTTTTTTTCGATATGGCACAGGGGAAGATATCTTTGGAAAAAGGTTTCTACAATAAAAACGTACTTAAATAGGCAATCTTTAGGGCGGCAAGAACGTACAAAGTATGCAACTGGATGCACTCAAGAAAGTATAGAAATGTTGTTCACACAAATCGGCCGTCTTCATTTCAGATAGATCAACACATTGTGCTTTATGTATTCTTCAATTCTACATAAAATAAAATGTAGGTTTTCATTTTCGCTCGATGTACACAGCACGTATGAGGAGAAGCATGAGAGCAAACAATTCTGATAGTTCCTAATTTTTCAAAGTAGCTTTTTTACTAATATACGACGTCAAAACAGTAACGCGACGCATGATATTATATTTGCTTATGTCTTGAAGTTTCTGTTTGGAAATTTTATTTGAATAAAGCTGTATTGTCTGCTGATTAATCTTTTCTTTCATATCTGCGCAACGAACTAATTGCTTTCTATAAGTCTTGTAAAGCGTTTTTTTTCTCTTTTGATTCAAGGTGAAGTCAAGATTCTCATGTCTAAGATAAAGTAGGAGCAATACAGGACGTTATCAAAGTTTCCATAATTGCAGGTTCGGAAGATGTTTTTCATAACAATATATTTGTCCTTACATACTGGCCAATAAAAATGAATTTTCAATGAATCGGCTGGTCAATTAAATTTTCCCGATGAATATGCACATATTAATTCTTGCGAGCAACATTCCCCCCTTGAGTCAGTTTGTACATAGCTTGTTTATTTATATACGTTTTCCACAGGATGTCGGACAAGGCAGTCCTACAAAAGCAACAAATCCCAGAGCGTAAATGTTTATGTCCTTTTGGTGTCTGCCAAATAGCGTTAGAAGCTATTTGGCGATAATTATGGTATTAATGTTTATGGAGTACTAAAAGGTTCAGTAAGTACATTTAAAATATGGATTATTTAAGGATTAGTTGGATATTGCCAAAAAATACTACATTCATCCTCTCTAGATCGGTATAAGGTATGACCCGGCTTTTGTAGCGATCCGTAAAACAATTGATTTGGACGAGGTTCTACGCATTGAGTCATATCCGACTGCACCTTAGTTTCAATGATCCTGCTTTCAGCGCCCAAGCAGCGCCACAAACCGGCGCAGCCGTGCATTTAACGTATGACGGAGTTGAACCTAGGAGTAGAGGATTATTGTTTCAAAGTCATTTCAACCACAGAGCGTTTTCGTATGTGTATGTCGTATATATTTTTTCCATTAAGTGAGCCAATTTATGGTTTTCAATGATCACCGGAAGGAAATATACCTTTAGAAATTTCTAAAATGTTCTGAATACACACTCCTAATACAAGCTCAACGGGTTTATAACTGAAGGGCGTTTTGCTATAAATACGTTTTTGCTAGGGTTTTTAGTCACGAATCTTGTTTTGTGTGTTCCGTTCTGCTGGCTGACAGGCACTGCCAGACAGGCCCAATAAGGCTTTGGCAAGTCTGCGTTTTGTATTCGGTTCTTTTGACATACAATAAAATATTAATATTATCATTACTACTATTAATATTGAAAATAAAAATTCCGCAAAAAATAATTATCTGAACTACACCGAACGTTATTAATGTCCGTAAATAGGCGTTTCGGCAGTCATGATTATGCCATCTACATTTTTATTGTGCTATGTGCACTTTTCCTGGAACCGTATGGCTGGCCTTCCTTGAAATACCCTGTATACGGCAATTCAGATACTTAAACTTGATCAGACTACAATAATATAACGCAAAATGTACTGACCAGTTAAGTGCGCGGAATTGATTCAATTTATTTTGTTTTACGTACACCTATTCAAAGAACATGTATAATGTTATATTACAGCAAAACACCCTTGCAGTAATAGTACGGCTGGAACAAACCACCCCTAATACGATTCTTCACTTGAGTTACAATTTAACGAAACCAGGGATGGGCAAAATACATGCAAATATGTATCGAAATACAAATACAAAATACTTCGTCAAAAATGTATTTAATTACAAATCTAATTACATTACCAAAAAAGCATTTAAATACAAGATACAAATACAACCAAATGTATTTGGTCTCCTCCAAATACTTTTCCAAATACATTCCTCAAAATTTGCGTCAGCGACTTCAGGGCACCTGCAACGGGTTTCCGGGTATCTCATTTTCATTTTGAATCTCACACTCGGGAGTTAGTGAGCGAGGCTCTAGTAACGTAATAGAAATATAATCACAAAAAAAAATGTAATCAGCTTGGACGCAATAGGTGAAAAAAGTACAGAGCTTCAAGCAGCTATTTTTGTCGATTACATTTTGATATAGGCCCACAAAGAACCGAGACGACCAAGACACGCAGCACTAGCTAGAGAATTTTTTATTGTTGCAACTCGCACCAGTTACGAAAATCTGGATGACCCGCGCATTTAGAATTTCCAAGGCAAAAGTATGGATGGAAATCCGGCTGGAAAGGATCACAAGTTGTCACAGGCACTTAATAAGCCAGTCTGCCTGTGAATGTTGATTTCGTCACTATTCTTGCCCTGGACTAGCATCGTAATCACAAAGTCACTAAAGGCTTGTGCTTGAATGAGAGACACTGCATTCGGTTCAGAACGTAGTTTTCTCCCTGCTCTGGACAGTGACAATAAATTTGAGGGATGTATTTTCGCCCACAAAATTGTATTTAATTACAATTGTACTTAAAATACCCACGTTTTAGTATTTAAATACACACGTTAAATACATTACCCAATTTGTAATTAAATACAAATGCAAAATACACAAAGTATTTGAAATACGTATTTCAAATACTTGTATTTGAAATACTGCCCATCCCTGAACGAAACCCATTAAATTAGTACGTTTGCTTCATACCACAGTTAATACAATGTCAGACGCTCTTAAAAGCGACCCTTTTAATGGCAACACGAAAAATTAAAAAGGCACAACCTGGAGCAGTCATAAAAAAAAAATGTCAAACCACAGAAGAATTGAAAAACAAAAGTAAAAACTCAGGAAATACTGCGAATAAAAACAATCGTCTTGGCAATTCAATTAGTCATTAAAATATAATGGTTTCATCCCATCGGACGCAAATTACAGTTGTCATAGTTGTTCCTATTACACATTCTGCAGCACATTTTGATGTCGACGATGATAAGTCGAGGTGCAATATGAGCTA